GTCAGGCCCCATTATATACTTTTGAACCCATTGTAAGGCGGCGTCTCTCCCGTAGTGGGTACTGTTATGTGGGTGCTGCAGCATAGCGTCCAAGGTGCCTCGGGGACTAAGACGATTCCTCGTGCACTACGTTTCTAGCCAGGTGAGGCGTGATCAAGAGTGAAACCCCACTCTTCGGGCCTCTCCTTGGCCTTTTCTGAATACACCGGCTGGTAGCTAACTTTTCCCCAAACAAGGCAGGAGAATTCTTAAATTCCTGAGGCAGGACTGTCCAATACTGTTGGACTGCCTGCGTTTCTGGGTCCTGCCCTTCAAACTCAAATAGCTGCTGTGATTCTTCTGCGGTGGGAATGCAGAAAAAAGCATCTTCCAAGTCCAAAGCCGAGAACCAGCTGTATCGTCCTGGGACGGCTGTGAGCAGAGTGAGCGGATTAGGCACTACAGGGTGTACGTCTCGGACTGCCTCATTCGTAGCCCTTAAGTCGTGGACAAAGCGATGCTCTGCTGGTTTGGCTTTTTGATGGGAGGGCAGGGGTGCTGTACGGGGACCTGCAAGGTTTAGTCAGTCCTGATCTGAGAAACTTCTCGAGAACTGGCTGAATTCCCTCTTGGGCCTCTTGTCTCAGAGGACACGGTTTTAGATGAGGTGCCCCAGCATCGCCTTTCAGTGGCGTATGCATTGGCCATGCGTTTCTGTCCTTCCCTGGGGTGCCGTCAGCCCACGCTTACGGCCTTCACAGACCTCGGGGGAAAGAGCTCTGTGTTGTTTTCTGGGCTTTCCGTGGGTGCCATCTGCAGGCTTAAAGTGTGCTCCAGTGGGACCCTGATGTCAAGCTGTTCTGGTGAAAAAGTTACTTGAGCATTTAATTTACAAAGGAGATCTCGGCCCCAAAGAGGGGCTGGACACTCTGGCATATACAAGAAGCTGTGCTTCATGGTGAGGTCCCCTAGCTGGCATTCCAGGGGTTGTCAGAATGAACGCTTTTGTATTTCTCCAGAAACTCCTGTGACTGGGATGGACTGGGGGGTCTTCGGTGCCACCTTAGCGTTTACCACGGAGTATGTTGCACCCGTATCTGTTAGAAAGTCAGTCTGTTTGTCCCCCACTGTCAAAGCTACCTGGGGCTCCTGGGGGAAATTGGAATCGGGAGCCTCAGATCTACAGGAGCCCCTGGGCCTCTACATTCATCAGAGTGTTCCTCTCCTTTTACAATACGAGGGGCTCCTAGCCTTCTTCATTGTTTTCCTGGATCAGACTCGCAGTTATGTTAAGTGCACACGTTGGTGGATAGAACTATGTATCCCCGAAAAATACTGGGCCCTGCACAGGCAGAGGACTGACACAAGAAGCCGCCGAAAGGAAGCCCCAGCATTAGTGCCAGTCCAGAAAAAGCGTCAGGACTTCCCAGTACTGTGGCCACATCATTTGGAAGCGCCCTGGTGAGGACAGACGAAGACGGAGTTACTGCTGCAGCAGAACTTACTGAGTCAGTTATTCTCATTGGAAAACACACAGCAGGGAACACGGGTCCTTTTAGGCCTTGCTCCAGTACGCACCGGAGGACTGTAATTTTCCCTGAGACAGACATCCCTGGTACGACTTGTGCTCCAGTACGCACACGCTGTTTTCTACACACCCAAGATGCCAGCAAGTCCAACAAAGCATAACATCCGAAGGTCACACTAGGAACTGTATTGCCGGTTCCTTTCCAGCCTCCTTGGGGAAAAGGGCCCAGAGATAGAACGGCACATCGTAGAACCTAAGTTAAGGGAAGCTGCTCATACCAACGCAAAAATGTGCTCTCTGGAAAGCCGCCAGGGTGTCTCCCTTCCTGGAAGCCATCACCTCTTCATGTGCAAGGACGGGACAGGCTCTGAGAGCACGCAGCATCCTGCTGTGATCAAGTTTCCCCATCAGAAGCCATTTCCTTAGCTGCGGCATTTTATCACTGGGGGCCCCAGTGCCGGCCGTTTCCTTAGCTGGGGCATTTTATCACTAGGGGCCCCAGTGCTGGTGAAGACTGGCGTAGAATAGCCGGGCGCTGCGCTGAACCTGCGCTTGTCGCCAGTACAGCTGCACGTGTCCAGCTGGTAAAGTAAACGTCTCTGACACAGCAGAGTCAAGGAAGCCAAGACGTGAGCTTAGTGAGGTGGTGGTGAAGGACACGGGGCGCCCCCGGGTAAAGCGATGAGTGTCTGGAGTGAGCGTTTCCCTGTTGAGTAACCCTAGGAAAGCAACCTCTGCCAGCTGAGAGGGTGGCACTGATCTTTGCAGGTCCCTCATTTGCAGCGTGCGAGCACTTTCAGGGCCCTTGCAGTCTGCTGTCGACCTGATAAACCCTTCCCCCAACTTCAGAGGGGTCTTCACTTGCTTTTTTGCTGGGGTTTCTTTGATTTTATCAAACCCAGACTACTGGCCATTTGCATTTAGGCCCCCTGTGGGTGAATGGTGTAGAAGGAATTGTCCCGTGCTGAGGGTGGCTCCTGGTCCAAACGCAGTGCCTTGTCAGCTCTCAGACGGCAACACCAGACCTGGTCCCTGTGCCCCAGGAACTAACAAGGATTTTCTAATTGATCCCTCTAAGGAGGGGGAGCCAGTCCGACCTCGTCCTGAGCCCCAGTGCCAGGAACGGGGGCTGGCTGTGTAGGAAGGAGTGGGTACACTGGCAGAGCAGCCAGAGCGGCTGGGACAGCTGGCTCAGCCGGAGAGTCGATGTTCGAAGGATCATATCCTAACGTGCATTCCTTTCCTTTTCTGATTTTCCCTCATGTAGTAGCACAAGTGCTTGCCCACAGGGCATCCCATCATCTTTCCCACTTTTTCAGAGTGCCTGAAATAGCAGGAGTGTGCAGGGCCATTCAAAGGCCACCGCTCCTCAGCACCGTGCTGTAAAACTGTAAATAGCCACTGACCCTCTCTCAGCGCTTCGCCTTGGCGCCAGCCAGCCGGGCCGAACTCTGGGCCTGTGGTGATTTTAGGAACCAAGTGGAACCCGTATATTCTCCCTGGGAACATCCTACTCTCAGACAAGAACAGGTTTGGTTTTTTCCCTCCTGTTCTTTTCCTCTGTTTAACAACAGTAAAAATTTTAAGCACATAAAACTGACTTGGCAGCAAGTGGACAAATGGCACCAAAACAAAATGAAATGAAAATCCCAAAGGGCAAACAGAAAACCCTAAATAAATGCTCCGGCTTGGTCTTGGGGTTTACACACATGATGACACAGGAGACCACAAGCGAGGTGACTCACACAGCAAGGGTGGCAGCACGTGGCGATAACCCGGCATCAACCCCTTGTGGGGGTCCAAACAGGTGCTCTGGCCACACGCTGTTCGTCTTTCTCTCAGGCGTGGGTTCGTAGCTGCAACCAGACCACTCACTCAGAGCGCGCCTCCGAGCACCTCCTTCAGGTGTCCGCGTCTTCGCCGCCCCAGCGTCAGGCCGGGCTTCACCCTTCTCCTTCTGGGGTCGGCAGTTCCCCTGCCCTCGCGTGTCCACACCTGCGGCTGCGGTCCCTCGTGTGCCAGTACTTGTAACGGGTTTATGCGGTTGCCCCGACAGCCAGGCTGCCTGGAGGCAACGGCCCCACTGAGGCAGCGGCTCTGACTGCGCTGAGTCAGTGGGAGGGGTGGGGTCCCTAAGCTCTGTCCCTCCGTGGGTCCCTGGCCATGTGTCCACAGCCTCGCTGCTGGGACTCCACGGGGGCCTGACCGCCCTGCGCGTTTACCTATGCGTTTTAAACAGGGTTCTGTTTCTGCTCGAACCTGAGTCGTTTGGGGAGCAGCAGGCATGTTAACAACGTGGGGCCTCCATCCAGGATTGTGTTCCCCCTTTGTTCGTGGTAGAGCTCCGCCTGCCCGGCCTGGAGCCGCGTCCCCGTGGGCTGACATGAGCTGCGTCGTGCGAGCCTGCGTCACGAGGCGCTGTTCCCTCCTGGGCACGAGGCCTGTCCCCGGCCTGGTGCCCGTCTGGTTGGGATCGGTCCTCCTCGTTGCTGAGTTCAGTGCCCAGCGTGCACTGCGTGGTGTCTGTGTCTCTGTCCTGAGAGGGCCGCCCCGGCCCCGCCCCGGGCTCCAGGTGTACATCTCCCGGCAGGACGAGGGGTCCCTGCGCCCGTTCTCCGGAAGAGGGTTTTTGGTCCGTGTGATGTCATTCCCGTCATCCGGACTCTCACTGGGGAGCCCGGGGTCCAGACTGCCGTGGGAAAGTTACATCACGGCTCAACCTCCCGCGGCATCAGACCCCGCCTTTCCCGTTGTGGGTTCTGACCAGACGCATCGGTGCGGTGGGGGGCCTTTGTCTGTGTCTCTGCGCTCATCACACCCCCGGCCTGGGCTCCGGAGTGTCCATCTCCTGTCCTGTCCTCCCCGCCCTGGCTGCTGACCCAGAGAACTCGATTCTCTGTCTCTGACTCTCGGAGGGTTTGCTGAGTGGGAATTCCTTTTCAAACTCTCTGAGGAACAGGTTGTTGTGTGACTTTCTCTGTGCGTCTCTGCCTCCTGCTCTCTGCCCCCCGTTTTCCCATGTGTTCGAGGTGGAAGCTCAGATGCTGGGTTTTCAGCCTCTGTCCCAATTGGTACCTGCATCAAAAGCAGTAAACACCACGCTGATGTCACCGCAGTCCCCAGGATGTGACGTGTCCCAGCGTCCCTAGTGTGTCCTAACCTGCAGAGTCGTTTATGCTCCCGTCACCTCCTGTGGCCTCTCATGACCTCCGATTACGGGTCATCAGAAGCTGTTTCACCCGCATGGTTTGGGGACTTGCCAGCTGCCTCAGTCACGGTGGCCGCATGCCGCCTCCAGTCACGGAGGGTCTGCAGGGACGCTGCGTTCGTCCTGGGGTGACAGCTGGAAGCGCAGCGTCCTCCTGCCCCGTGATGCCCGCGGGCCGTCGTGGCAGCCGCAGACTCTCCGGGGGAGGCCTGAGGTGTGCACGGCCGTGTGGGGGCTCCGGTGGCGCAGGCTGTGGAGCGCTGACCTGCGTGTCCTCTGCTGCAGGCCTGCGGCTGCCCTCTCTACTGGAAGGGGCCACTCTTCTGCGGGGCCGGCGGGGAGCGCACGGGCTCCGTGTCTGTCCACAAGTTCGTCGCCATGTGGAGAAAGTGAGTCCGGGGCGGGCGCGGCGTCCCCGTGATGCCCTGCTGCTGGGACGGGAGGGGTGGACACGGACCTGCAGGCCCGCCCGGCCCTCCCTTCTCCCCGTCATAGGGCACCTGACCCTGAGTCCGGGTGGGGGCTGTGGGCAGACCTGGGAGGACAGCGGGGTGTCCTGTCACTAGAGTCCTGCAGAACTGTCATGACGATGCGGCCAAGTTTGTCCACCTGCTCATGAATCCCGGCTGCAACTACCTTGTACAGGAGGACTTCGTCCCCTTCCTGCAGGTATGTCCCCACGAGCGCCCCGCACCCTGTAGCCCTCTCGGCCGCTCTTGTGTCTGCACCCCGCCTGGGCTGCGGTCTGCTCCATCCTGGGGGCGCCGCCTGCCCCGAAGCTGGCTCTGTGCGGCCCTCCACACCTGTTTGGGGGCAGGACGGAGCAGACAGGTGCACACCTGAGCCTGGGAGGTGTGGTCTGATGGCGGGGTGAGCACTGTGTTGCGTGAGGCTCTCTCCATAAAGCGGGTTGCGGTCGGCGGGACGCTTATTCTCCAGACGCTGCTCCAGCCCCTCTTAGGATTGTTTGTTTGGCACTTTATTGTACGTTCCGTGGCAGAGAACCAAAGATGATGCGTGGTTACGTGTCACCGCGTGTTCCACTGAAACACGGCGTCACTGCAGTCCCTGAGGCAGGTGGGATAGAGGAGACTTAAGGGCTCCTGGGGTTGGTGGAGCCCTTTGTTGCGTGAGGGCACTTCAGATTCCCTTTCTCGAAGTTTGGAGGGGACTTGGGTGTCGGTGCTTACATGTTCACACAAGCCAGGTTGCCCGGCCGTGAGCAGTGCTGCCATGTGCGTCCCGAGCTCGTGGCCCAGATGTCCCATGTAACCTTGACGTGATTTCATAGACTCGAGCATTTGGGGTGAGCGTGTGTGAGCGGCTCGTGGCTGGCTGTGTGGGCCGCTGTGCTTCACGGGAGACGCTTCTGGTCCCCGCGGGCCAGCACGTCCCAGGCGTGTCTTGTCCCCCGCGTGCAGGACGTGGTGAACACGCACCCTGGCCTGGCGTTTCTGAAGGAGGCGTCGGAGTTCCATTCCCGCTACATCACCACCGTGAGTACCGAGCAGGCCCGGCCACGAGGCCTCTGCGGGCCCTGCTTCCTCTCTGTGATGCCAGCCTCCCTCTCCCTGGGCTTGTGCGCGGGGTGAGGGCGTCTCTGCTCCGGGCGCGCAGCCGGGCGCCCTGGGGGAGCCCCACGGTCTGACTGCAGCACAGCAAGCCTGGGCGAGGGGCGTCAGAGACCCTCTCTGGGGTCTGGGCAGGAGGCGCTTAACAGCGTGTCCTGGGCCCCAGCCTGGGGGTCTCCTTACCTTGAGGAGAGAGACTTGAGGACATCACAGCCCTGCCCCCTGCACCTGCCCTGGTCAGGGTCTCCTGGGGAGGACAGCTCCTCCCACACGCTCCTCCTCCAGCTCTGAGCCTGAGTGGCCCAGGCAGCCCGAGGGTGTGCTGCCGGGAGCTTGCATTTGTCCTGCAGAGCAGAGCGGACACCCGGGGGAGAGCCAGGCCGCCTCCTCCCGGTCAACGGTCCACTGTCACCCTGGGGGGGCGTCACCAAGTATGGTGATCGGAATTGGGGTTTATTCAGAGGACAGTGAGGGCTGACCTAAACCCGGCTGTGTGCCCGGGGCTCCGTGAGCACGCTGGGTCCTCAGAGCACAGGGCAGGGAGGGGCCGTCCGGGGTGAGGGCAGGGGAGGGGACTTTGTCAGTGGGGACACCCCCATCTGAGGCCGGGTCCTCAGTGCCCAGGGCAGGGAGGGGCCGTCCGGCGTGAGGACAGGGGAGGGGACTTTGTCAGTGGGGACACCCCCATCTGAGGCCAGGTCCTCGGTGCCCGGGGCAGGGAAGGGCCGTCTGAGGTGAGGGCAGGGGAGGGGACTTCGTCGCTGGGGACACCCCTATCTGGGTCTTGCTGTGCCGGGGGAAGGGGGTCACTCTCAGGTCTTACATTAATGCTGTCCGTTCCATAGTAAGTTGCTTGTGGGAGCGTTTGAAGCCATTTTCTAAACCAAGCCCGGTGTAAGGAGGACTCCAGCCTTCCAGGAGCTCCTGCTCCCTTCCCCTTCCTCCCCACCCCCTGCCCCTCGCCCCACCGCCGCCTGCTCGGATTGCCCACTTCCTGCATGTGCTCCCCCCAGAGTGTGGAATGTGGCCGGAGGGACAGCTCCTCCCGCCCGAGTGCCACCCCGGGCGGGAGGCAGGACACTGTGGAACTGGCTGATGCGTGTGGGCCAGGCGCCCTCTGCTGGCCACGCAGGGTCCTGCAGCCTAGGGTCCATTGATCCTGGTGAGGCCCAGCAGTCCCAGGTGAGGTCCCTGGTGGGCCTATGTGCAGCCCCCAGGGTCCCGGGCTCCGCTGACGGCCCTCCTCCCTCAGGTCATACAGAGGATCTTCTACACGGTCAACAGGTCCTGGTCGGGGAGGATCACATGCGCAGAGCTCCGGAGGAGCAGCTTCCTGCAGGTGGGCGGGGCAGCAGGGCGAGGTGGGTTCCTCACGTCCTCCTGTGCCCTCGCCCCTCCCCTCTTGCATCATTCCTCACTCCCCCTCCAGCACCCAACTCCCACCCACCCACCCATCATCCCTCCCTCCCCCCACCCACCCATCATCCAC